CGTGCTATATCAAATGGTATATTTTTTCTGATTTCTTCTTCTTCTATTGCATTGCTGGTGTACAAAAACGCCTTTGATTTCTGAATGTTGACTTTGTATCCTGCTGTTTTGCCAAATTCACTTATTAGGTTGAGGAGTTTTTTGGTAGAGTCTACAGGGTTCTCTATGTACACTATCATGTCATATGCAAACAATGATAGTTTTACTTCCTCCTTTCCTATTTGGATGCCTTTTATCTCTTTCTCTTGTCTGACCGCTGTGGCTAGGACTTCCAATACGAGGTTGAAAAGACGCATTGAGAGCGGACATCCTTGTCGTGTTCCCGATCTTAGTGGGAAAGCTTTCAGTTTTTGCCCATTGAGTATGATATTGGCTGTAGGTTTCTCATATATGGCCTTTATTACATTGAGGAATGCCCCATTTATTCTCATTTTGCTGAGTGTTTTGATCATAAATGGGTGCTGTACCTTGTCAAATGCTTTTTCTGCATCTATCGAGATGATCATGTGGTTTTTGTCTTTTCTTTGATTGATGTGGTGTATCACGTTTACTGATTTGCGTATATTGAACCATCACTGCATCCCTGGGATGAATCCCACTTGATCGTGGTGGATAATCTTTTGAATGTATTGCTGGAAGCGGTTTGCCAATATTTTGTTGAGGATTTTAGCATCTATGTTCATCAGCAAAATTGGCCTGTAGTTTTCTTTCTTGGTAGGGTCTTTATCTGGTTTTGGGATCAGGGTGATGCTGGCCTCATAGAAAGAGTCTGGGAGTCTTCCCTCTTCTTGGATTTTTTGGAATAGTCTGAGAAGGACAGGGGTTAGCTCTTCCTTAAATGTTTTGTAAAATTCTCCTGGGAAACTGTCTGGCCCTGGGCTTTTGTGTGCTGGGAGTCTTGATTACTGCTTCAATTTCCCCAACTGTTATCGGTCTGTTCAAGCTTTCTGTTTCTTCCTCCTTCAGTGTTGGAAGATTATACTTTTCTAAAAATTTGTGCATTTCATCAAGATTTTCAAATTTCTTGGCATATAATTGTTCATAATAGTTTCTGATGATCATTTGTATTTCTGCGGTATCAGTTGTTATTTCTCCTCTTTCATTTCTGATATTATTAATTTGGGTCCTCTCCCTTTTTGTCTTGATGAGTCTGCTTAAAGGCTTCTCAACTTTATTAATCTTTTCAAAGAACCAGCTTCTGGACTGGTTGATCCTCTGAATTGTTCTTTTTGTCTCTATGTCATTCAGTTCTGCTCTAATCTTGACTATTTCCTTTCTTCTACTTGCTCTGGGATTTATTTGTTGTTGTTTCTCCAGTTCTTGAAGTTGTAGTGTTAGATCTTTATTTGAAATGTTTCTATCTTTTTTAGGTAAGCCTGTATTGCTATGAACTTCCCTCTCAGGACTGCCTTTGCTGTGTCCCATAGGTTTTGGACAGTTGTCTGTTCATTTTCATTTGTTTCCAGAAATGTTTTGATTTCTTCTCTGTTTCTCATTATTGACCCCTTCATTGTTTAATAGTGTACTGTTCAGTATCCATGAGTTTGTGAGTTTTTGAAGTTTCTCTTTGAGGTTGATTTTGAGTTTCAAGGCCTTGTGGTCTGAGAAAAAGTTTGGTATTATTTCAATTTTCCTGAATTTGCTGAGGCTTGCTTTGTGTCCTATCATGTGGTCTATCTTTGAAAAACTGCCATGAGCATTTGAAAAGAATGTGTATTTTTCTTCTTTGGGATGTAAGGTTCTATATAGATCAATTTAGTTTCTTTGATTCAGTGTGTCATTCAGCGCCACGATATGTTTATTACTGTTTTGTTTGGAAGATCTGTCCATTTTTGACAGTGGGGTGTTGAAATCCCCTACTATCAGTGTGTTGCTGTCTATATCTTTTTTGAAGTCATCCAACAATTTCCTTATAAACTTGGGGGCTCCTATATTGGGAGCATATAAGTTTACAATGTTGATGTCTTCTTGATAGATTCTTCCTTTCAGTATGAAATAGTGCCCCTCTGGGTCTCTCTTTATGACCTTTGCTTTGAAATCTACTTTGTCTGATACAAGTATGGCAATGCCAGCCTTTTTCTCATGTCCATTTGCTTGGAATATTATTTTCCATTCCTTTACTTTCAATCTGTGTAGGTCTCTTGCTCTGAGGTGGGTCTCTTGTAGGCAGCATATGTGTAGGTCATGTTTTCTAATCCATTCAGCTACCCTGTGTCTTTTGATTGGGGTTTTAGTCCATTCACATGAGAGATATTACTGATAGAAACTTACTCATCTTTTCTCTTCGTACTTGTGTTCCTCCCTGTCTCATTCTTTTCCTTCATCTGCTTAAACCAGTCCCCTTAGCATATCTTGGAGTGCTGGTTTGGTAGAGATGTATTCTTTTAGCTCTCTTTTGTCTGGGAAACTCCGTATTTCTCCTTCTATTTTAATGGAGAGCCTAGCTGGGTAGAGCAGCCTTGGCTGTAGGCCCTTGCTTTTCATGGCTTGGAATATTTGCTGCCATTCCCTTCTGGCTTGCAGTGTTTCTGTTGAGAAGTCAGCTCCTAGGCGTATCGGGGCCCCCTTGTATGTTACTTTCTCCTTCTCCCTTGCTGCCTTGAGGGTTCTCTCTTTGTCTTTGACATTTGCCCTTTTAATGATGATGTGTCTTGGAGTGGACCTCCTTGGTTCCCTCTTGAGTCGGGCCCTTTGTGCCTCCTGGATCCATGAGAGCCTTTCTCTCCTCAAATTAGGAAATTTTCCATCATTACTTTTTCGAGGAGGTTCTCTATTCCTTGCTCCTCTTCTTCTTCCGGTATCCCTATTATACGGATATTATTGCGTTTCAGGTTGTCCTGCATTTCCCTAAATGCTTCTTCATTCTTTTTGAGCCGTTTTTCCATTTCTTGTTCTTTCTGGGAGCTTCTTTCAATCTTATCCTCCATGTCACTGACTCGATCCTTGGCTTCATCCAGCCTGCTTTGGATTCCTTCTACTGTGTTCTTCAATTCAGAAATGGCATTCTTCATATCCTCTTATGTCTTCTTGATAGTTTCTACATCCTTTTTCAGAGTGATATAGTTTGCTGTAAGATCCTGATAGTTTCTATACAGTTTCTCATAGTTGTCTTTGAGCTGGCTGAGCTCATTGAGCTTCCTTAGAACCATTGTTTTAAATTCCATATCTGATAGTTCCCTTGCCTCTATTTCATTGAGCTCTCTCTGTGGGGAGTCCCCTTTTCCCCTCATTTGAGGGGAACTTCTTTTTCTTCCCATTTTTGTGAGAGTCTGTTAAGTATTTTTGTCCTTTACTTTTCTTTCAGGGCTTGCCTCTGATGATGTCAGTTGTTGACCCTATAGGGTTTAGGTTGTTTGTTTGAGCCTTTCAGGAGTCTAATGCCTGTGTCTGACTCCTGCTTGGAGCAGCTCTGTGAGCCCTTCGGTCAGGGCTGGGCTATTTTTTGGGATCTCTCTGCGCTCTCACGTGGGCTTCTTGAGCGCGTTCCCAGCGCGGCAGTGTCCCCGACCTGCCTGGGCTCGCATGTTTGCCCCAGACCAGGGGGCTTATTCACGACCTCCCGCACTCATCTGGCCTCCCTGGCACGCGAGCTTCGCGGCACTGGTCAGTTTAGGGTCTTCTATTGTGTGTTTTCCCCGCTTTTGGCTCTTTGGGTGCGTTGCCCTCCCTCGCCAAATGGGGACTACGGAAATGGGAGGAAATCAGCTCTAGGACTCTCCAGTTAATCCTGTTTCTGGTCTCTCCTCCAGGGACTCTGGGCAGCTCTACTTATTTTGTGGGTTGCTCCGCAATCGCGGCGGGTAGGTCAATTTACGCCTGCCCTTGCCCCTCTGTGCAATCCCTCGCAGCCCGTATGGGTGCCAGTCTGTGTGAGGCCTTGCCGGCAGGTGCTAGCGTTCGCCAACCCGCGTGGGTCACACACACACTCGCCAACCCTCGCCAGTCACTCGGCGCAAGTCTAAATTGTTGATATACACAAAATAACTTGCTGGGATTTTGATTTGGATTACAGTGAATCTAAAGATCAAGTTTGCAAGAACAGACATCTTAACAATATTGAATTTACTTCTTGCAGTTTTTCCCTATATACAAGCAATGAATAAGTAGATTTTGAAACTATACACACACCATTTGCATCAGTACCAAAAGCTCAATACTTATATATTAATCTCATTAAATGTGTACAAGATCTATATGAGGTAAAGTACAACATTTTAATGAAATTAATCAAAGAAGAAATAAATGAATGAGGAGAAATTTTATGTCCATAGATAAGAAGGAACCGTGATATGCCTCCATGTTAACATTTTCTTTGCACTTATCATGTTTTATTCATATCAGAAAACTTTAGTGGAGGGGGGCTGTCTTCTGTCATATAATTCTTGTGTACCAAGATTGGAGAGTCTTATGTTACTATCCTAAAAGTTTACTATTATGGCTCCCTATTATGTTGGCTCTCTTTTAAGTAACATCTTAGGTAACAGTTTGGGTTTTTTGGTTCACTTGAAAAAATATAAGAGGGTTTTTAGATTCTTCCCATAGATCTTATTGCCTTACCAGTAGCAACCAAAGCAGTTCTCTCTTAACATCGTAGAGTTCTCTTATATGTAATATCATAAGGAGAGCACACATACTAGAACTCAGTCCAGTTTTGTCACTTAATAGATGCATAGTTTTAATCATGATATGTGACCTCTCTGAGCCTCAATTTCTTTATTTGAAAGTGATTATTGTATCTTCTTTTTTTGTTTATTTTGAGGAGTAAGAGAATGTAAGGTAGTATAGTGCTTGCACATAATAGACATTTATTAAAACTGGCAACTATGTTTATCTTAAGAATTTTTTTCCTTGAATACTTACATGACCCTGCTGTCTGTCTCTCTCACTCTCTCTCCTTTTGCTTGTGTAGTTCTCACACATATATGTGAGATATCAGTATAGAGGTATGACCAGCTATTTGCAACACCTTTAAATATTTTTCTTTCTTTATTAAAAAACAGAAACTACTTATTCAGTACCTAATCAATTGAATGCCATGTTGAAAATATTTGAAAAACAGTCAAATATGTTAGAGAGGTAAGCTTTTAAAAATAATTTCTTTTCTGAATTAAAAAAGTGAATATGTATTTGTTTTAGAAAATTTGGAAATATAAAGAATAAGATCACTGTTAAAAAATTTAGTGTTTTTATATCAATTTTTGATATTTATAATTTTAAAACTTAAAATTATAATCACACAGAATGTAAAATTGTACAGTTACAATGAGAAATTTGTGTCCATTCTTCAAAAAATTAAAAATATAATTATCATATGGTTCAGCAATTCCATTCCTGGGTATATACCTCCCAAACTGAAATTAACATTTTTTAAAATTGTATTTAGATTCTTATTCTTTTTTTTTTAATTTTATTTTAATTTATTTTTTCAAATACATTTCTCTCTGCCTACTCCCAACCACTTTCACTTGCCCCCTCCCTCCTTCCCTCCCTCAGCTCTTCCCCTTTGGTTTTGCCCATGAGTCCTTGCTACATGTTCCTTGACTTTCCCCTTCCCTTCCTTTTCCCTGCCCCTCCTCCCTCCTTCCCTCTTGTCTCTGTTGATTTCTTTTCCTTTCAGTGTTGCTGGTCTTATTTTTCTTGCATCTTTGTGTTGTTGGTTAGGTTCTGCTTATAGGTGAGATCATATGGTATTTGTCAGTAGATGATTGGATCAAAAAATTATGAAATTAACATCTTGAAGAGCTATTTATATACACATATTCACTGTAGCATTATTCACAAGAGCAAAGAATTGGAAGTAACCCAGGTGTCCAATGATGAATGCATAAAGAAAATGAAATATATATATACAATGGAATATGGTTCAGTGTTAAAAAGAAAGGAAATTCTGACATAGGGTACAACCTGAATGAACATTGAGGATACTATAGTAAGTAAAAGAAACCAGTCACAAAAAGACAAGAATTTTATGGTTTTATTAATATGAAGTACAAACTGTAGTCAAATTTATAGAGACAGAAGGTAGAATGATGGTTGCCAGGGGCTGAGGAGAATGGGGGATGGGGAGTTGTTTAATGGAGTTACAGTTTTGCAAGATGAAAAGAGTTCCGGAGGTTGGTTGCACAATAATGTGAATGCACTTTAGTGTGGACTTAGAAATAGTTAAATGGAAAATTTATGTTATGTATAGTTTAAAATTTTAGAAAGTAAAAATTACATTCATACAAAATGTTTCTTGTATATGTACTTTTCACTTATTGATAATTCTTTGTAAACTCATAATTATTTTTAAGTAAATGTTTTAAAGTAAAACATATCCAGAAAGTTCATATCACTCAGGGAGTTTTAAAAAAATTATTTAGATTCAACATTGAAAAGTTGGGAAATTTTACATGATCAGATTTTCTAGTTATCAAATTGAGTGATCATAGAAAAGTGTAAAGAGAGTTCCAGCCAAGGTGGAGTTGTAGGTAGATATACTTCACTTCTTCTCACAACCAAAATAAGGGAAAAAACCAATTTAAAAACAAAAAGAACCCCAGAACTTCAAGAAAATCAAGCTGTATGGAAGTCTGATAACCAAAGAGTTAAAGAAGAAACATTCATCTAGAATAGGAGGGGCAAAGACAGGTAGCTGGGATGGAGAAGACACGTGACAAGGTGGCTGGAAGACTGGGTGGTCCCACATTTGCTTGTGGATAAGCCAGGAGGAACAACTGGGGAGCGAGACAAACCATGCAAACCAGGGTTCCAGTGCTGGGAAATAAAGCCTCAAAATCTTTGGTGGTAAACACCTGTGGGGGTTCTGGGGGCAGGAGAAACTTCCAGTTTCACAGGAGAGTTTATTGGAGGGGCCAACAGGGTCCTAGAATGTACACATGCCCACCTACCCAGGAATCAGCACTTGAAAGGGCACAATCTGCCTGTGAGAAGTGAGGGAAGTAATAGAAAGTGGGGTGAGAGCGGAGAGAACTAGGAAGCAGCATTTTCCCCTCTCTGACCCTTCCCTCACATATAGGGCCACAACGCAGCAAAGTCGGTTGCCTTGACCTGGTGAATACCTAAGGCTCCCCACCCTTACAATATAACAGGTGCACCGAGACAAAGAAATACAGCCCAAATGAAATAAAAGATCAAAATTCCAGAAAAAGAACTAAGCAAAGAGGTGATAGCCAATCTATCAGATTCAGAATTTAAAACACTGGTAATCAGGATGCTCACAGAAATGATTGAGTATGATTGCTAAATAAAGGAAGAAATGAAGGCTATACAAAGTGAAATAAAGGAAAATATACAGGGAAACAACAGTGAAGTGTAGGAAACTGGGGCTCAAATCAATGATTTAGAACAAAAGGAAGAAATAAACATGCAACAAGAACAGAATGAAGGAACAATTAAAAAAAAGTGAGAGGCTGAGGAACCTCTGGAACAATGTTAAACATTCCAATATCTGAGTCATAGGGGTGCCCAAAAGAGAAGAGTAAAAGCAAGAAATTGAAAACTTATTTGAAAAATAATGAAGGAAAACTTCCCGTTGCTGGCAAAGGAACTAGACATGCAGGTCTGGGATGTTCAGAGAGTCCCAAGGTAGTTGGATCCAAGAAGAAACACACCAAGACACATCATAATTACATTACCCAAGATTAAAGATAAAGAGAGAATCTTAAAAGCAGCAAGAGAAAAGAAGACAGTTAACCTACAAAGGAGTTCCCATAAGACTATCAGCTGATTTCTCAAAAGAAACCTTGCAGGCAAGGGGCTGGCAGGAAGTATTCAAAGTCATGAAAGACAAGGAGCTACATCCAAGATTACTCTATCCAGCAAAGCTATCATGTAGAATGGAAGGGCAGATAAAGTACTTCCTAGGTAAGGAAAAGTTAAAGGAGTTCATCATCACCAAGCCCTTATTATGTGAAATGTTGAAGGGGCTTATCTAAGAAAAAGAAGATCAAAAACTATGAACAGTAAAATGACAACAAACAACTATCAACAACTGAACCTAAAAAACAAAAACAAAAACTAAGCAAATAGCTAGAATAAGAACAGAATGACAGAAATTGAGATCACATGGAGGGTTATCAGTGGAAATGGGGAGAATGGAGGAAAAGGTATAGGGAGTAAGAAGCGTAATTGGTAGGCACAAAATAGACAGGGAGAGGCTAAGAATATTATAGAAAATGCAAAAGCCAAAGAACTTATATGTGTGACCCAATGAATATAAATGAACTAAGGGACATGAACTAAGGGGTGGGGGTAGGGGAATGCTGGAGGGAAGGGCTGTACAGAGTGGAGGAGGATAAGGGGAGAAAAAAAATAGGACAACTGTAATAGCATATTTAATAAAATATACTTAGAAAAGTAAAGAAAGTGTAAAGAAAATGTAAAGAAAGTTACGTCTGGGGAAGTCGCTAAAAATGGAACTAAAGGACTTATTGCTTGTTTTCATTAATGGTCAGTTATGTGGTATGCAATTAAATTAGATGCTATTTATCATTTTCTCTTTCTGTCTTTTTAGAATCCTTTATATTAGAAGGTTAGGGTCAGAATTTTCACGGCCTTGTCAGATGAAAACTCTAACATGTTCTAGGGGCATTCTTAAAGGTGGAGATTAGTTTCCATGACTATTTTATCCATTGAACCCAGGGTATTAAAGCAGACATCTATACTATTCAATATTATTTATTCTAGCTCCTCATATTAGGCTGTTAGTGCTAGTTATAACTGGTTTTAGAATTCCTGGGTGTAGTAGAAAGAAGTGTAAAGAACTAGCTTAAGGGATTACTATAAAGGAGAGAATTTCCAACTTGAATGGTCTTTTTTTTTTAATTTATTTTTTTGTTCAAATACATTTGTCTCCGCCTTCCCCCCACCACTTTCCCCTGTCCCCCTTCCCCATCTCCCTCCCTCAATCCTTCCTCACTTTGGCTTTGTCCATGACCAACTTGAATGGTCTTATAGTCAGTATGAGCTTTGTACAATTGTCTGATTAGAAAGTATTATATAAATTGATGCAACAAGTTCTAGAAAGATAGGCAGCAATCTAAAATTATCTCTGTGGAGATCATTGAATTTTCAGAATGGTAGTCAAAGTGTACTCTAGTCTTATTTATTTGAAAAATTTTCACAAAGAATATGTATATGTATGTCACATAAATAAAAATATAAATAAAATTATAATATAATACAGACATTTTTGATCTTTTCAGAGCTAAGAATGATCAAATTCTGTTAGAAACTGTAAGTATATCTGTTTGAAATTGTACTTTGCTCTTATTAATAGATTCTTGAAATTGTCAGAATAATAATCTTAAATAAGGATGCAAGGCTTACTCAGTTTGTTCAAGTTTTCTATGCATATTTTAGCTGGATAGCTTTGTTCATTCTTTTGAATAATATGTTTTATTCTTATATAATATTATAATTATTATATAATAATAAATTGTAATATATATTGTATAATATAATGATGCATATTATATATAATATTAACATAATATTGCCATTATTATATTAATAATAACATAATATTAACATAATAAATTATATAATACATAAAATGACAATAGTACCATAATCATATATTAGTGATATATAGTATCTTAGTACACATCATATATTATTTATTATATACTAAATTATATTATTAAAATATTAATATTAAAATAATATTATATTATTGTTAAGATTATAATATACAATCTTATATAATATGTAATCTTATAGAATTATATAAATATATACTTATTAAAAGATATATAAGATTATATATTTTATATAAGAACTTGTAGTAAAAATAAGTTTTATCTTTATTTTATATATTTAATATTATACATATTTAATAATTTTAATATTGAATAATGTTAATAATTTTACTTTTGTAACATTATATATTAATATTCTTAATAGGACATTTTTTCATATTATATACTTTATAATGAGTTTTATATACTATATAATAATGAGTTTATTATATATTATGTATAATTATTTTATTTTTAAAATTTCTTTATTTCTTTACTTTTAAAAAATTTTCACATACATTTGACTCCATTTACGTGCCACCACTTTCCCCTGCCCTATCCACCCCTACATCCCCTCCTCAATCTTTCCCCACTTTGGCTTCCTCCATGTGTCCTTCACACCTGTTCCTTGATCTGACCCTTCTCCTTCCCCTCCCAGAATCTCCCACTCCAGTCCCAGTTAGGTTCTTCTTTCTTTCAATGTTGCTGGTCATATTTTTCTTGCCTGCTTGCTTAGCTGCTTAGGTTCCACTTATAGGTCAGGTCATATGGTATTTGTCTTTCACTGCCTGGCTTATTTCACTTAGCATAATGCTCTCCAGTTCCATCCATACTGTAGCAAAGGGTGGTAGCTTGATCTTTCTTTCTGCTGCACAGTATTCCACTGTGTAAATGTACCATAGATTTTTGATCCACTCATTTACTGATGGGCATTCTAGCACTTGGCTATTGTAAATTGTGCTGCTATGAACATTAGGGTTCATAGGTTATTTTTAATTATTTTATTATATAATATATATAATAAAATTATATATTTTATTAATATATTTAATATTAATATTATTATATAATATTTTATGTATTATATATTATATAGTTAATTATACATAGTTATATATAATATATAATAATAAGTTGTAATAAAATTTATATAAGGGTTTTTGTAACTTATTCAGAAATACTTCACTTATGACATACTGAACTATAATATCTCTCAGCCTTCTAAACTTTAATTCATTGCCACTTCCAGTTCTTTTGCTTCTTTCAGCCTCAATTACAACTTCTCACTACAGATTAGTACCAATGGTTTATTATTTTCATGTGGTAATGAAATTTTTCTTACTTTAATAATTAAGTATCCAAATAAGTTCTCTATATTGAGATTTTGCTTTTTATTATTACTAAAATTATGATGTTTGTCTTAAGAAATACAAACAGATTCAAAATGATTTCCAAATTTTATCAGAGGAGAAATTGGTGCTGGAAAATGAACTACAAAAGTTGAGAAATAAAGAGGTTAGTTAAATTTTAGTGATTAAAAATGGTATACAGTACCTAAAGTTTCTTATTATATTAGGATAGGAATCAAATATATATTTAAATGTTTTATTATACATTTTCAATATTAATAGTTGGTAACACCTGTGTTTTAAAAGTGTAAAATAATACTGTATTTAAATTACAATATTATCTACAAAACTAAAAGTGTGGTATGAAAAACAAAGTAAATTTTAAACATTCTGAAAGACACTTTTAGGCTTAATATTGAACTTTATTAAAATATCAATCAACTTTACTGCAATTAGTTCTTTGCAATTACAGAATCTGTGTCTCAGCTCACTGTATCAAGTAGAGTGAATTGAAATATCTAGGATAAAATTTTTTCCTAATTTTTTCTCCTTTGCCAGGTTTATAAAGCTTATAAAATTCAAATTGTAGAAAAAAATGGATTAGAAGCAAATTTTTACTAACTTCTTATTAACTCCATAAGATGTATGTTTCAACATAAAATGAAGGAAAATACTCTTTCCTATATGTACTAATGTTGGACCTGATACCTCTTTCTTTCTAAAGAGAATGCAGAAATAGTACCAGGAATTTTTTTTTACCTAATCAGTTAGAAAAGCAGACAGGTGTCAAATATAAGACCAGAGCTTCACACACAATTAGGAATAGTTTCATTTAGATATAGTTCCAACTAGGAATTGAAGATAAAATAATAAATAAAATTAAAATAAAATAGTATATTATTGTATTAAATAATTGAGTAGTCTGGCCAAGTGTATTTTGCAACATTTAATCATTTATTTTACCATTAGATCTACATTAAGAAAAACCTTGGAGCATACTTCCAGTCAAGGTGGCTGCATAGGTTTCTCCTCCTCTTATGTTCCTGTGCTTGCTTCCTCCTATAGTCACATCAAAGTTACAATTACACTACAGAACAACCACCATTCAGAACTGCCCGAAGTCTAGCTGAATAGAAAACCTGTAACTAAGGATATATAGAAAAAAGTCATGTAGTTATGATAGAAAGAGTGGAGATGTGGAATGGGTTGGTCCCACACCCATGTGTGGTGGTTAAAAATTGAGAGGGATATCTTAGATGTGGAGGTCCCCACTGAGGAGTGAGAGGTCCCAGTTCCATGGGGGGAGTTCTCAGCTCAGGATTCCAGTGTCAGGAAGAGAATTCCCCATAACTTCTGGCTGTGAAAACCAGTGAGGGTTGTGGCTGAGTGGTACCAAAAGCTGCTCGAGTTCCCGGTGTCCCTCTTAAAACGCCTGCATGGATTTATATGGACTAATTTGCTTTGAGCTCCAGCACTGGGGAAACATTTCAAAAGGCACCAGGTATATATGGGGAGGAACTGAATTGTCTGGAGAGCATTATGCTACATGAAAAAAGCCAGGTGGTGAAAGACAAATACCATATGATCTTACCTACAAGTAGAACCTAAACAACAAAACAAACAAGCAGGCAAAATATAAACAGAGACATTGAAATAAAGAGCAAACTGACAGTAACCAGAGGGCAGGGAGGAGAGGGATAATGGAGGAAAATACGGGAAAGATCATCAAGGAATATGTATAAAGGACGCAAGCAGACAGAGAGGGGCAAAATGGCAGAGCAGTGAATGGAAGTCACACTGACTTTCTCCCAAGACCAATCTGGAATTACAACTAAATTTTGGAGAAATTACCTGGAACAGACAACTGAACAATAGCGAGAGAGAAGCCTTATAACCTCAGACAGACAGAAGAATCAGCTTCAGCACAACCTGACTGGTAAGGAGTGTGGTGGACACTTGAGAGGGCTGGCTGCAAACCCACAGCAGCAGTGTGAGAGGGATATTTAAGAAGCCAGTTGGATACCCCTGAGAAGAGTGGGATCCAAACCATAAGACGGTATTCCCAGCCTATAGCACAAGAGCCCAAAAAATACACAGATAACAGCCAGCTGTGAAAGTGGCAAGGTTGCTCTCTGCCACACATGGGTGGCTGGAGAAGCAAAGAGCTGTTTAAAGGGCCAACACATAAATTTTCATTTGCAGCTGCTTACCCTGGGCTCTGGCAAAGGAGCGGGCAGAGTGGGCTAGAGATGCTTGGGGAGACACTGGGGATGGAGGTTTTGGGGAGAGAACTGAGGGAGTAGCCCCTGGATACTAGTGATGATTCATCTCCTATATGACAGCCATCATGCTCAGATAGACCACTCCACTCCAAGCAGCCTGAGGGGAAACAATAGCCCTAGCCACAGGAGGGATTCGGCCTCTCACTGTGGTGCTTAATTCTGATGGCTTAGTGCAGAGTGACTACATTAACAACTGAAAGAGACAGCCACAGACAGTAGATCCCTGGAGGTCTTGAACAGACTGCCTAAGGTCACACAGGGTAAATACATGACATCACCAGAGGCAGATCCAAAGAGAAAAACAGCAGTAAATAGTAGAGGCTACCGAGACAAAATCCACAGCGGTCCCCATTATTTGCAATACTTTTTTTACTACATAGCTTTTTAATGTTCATTTCTTGTCCATCAAGTTTGTGCATATTAAGTCATTAGATTTCATGATATATTTTTTTCTCTCCATTAATATAATAATCTTAATCTCTTTAAAGCCTCATTAATACTGGTTCATGTGCTGTTGAAAATGGGATTGCAGGAGGGAGTTATGTTGTGGATATGGGTGAGATTTCTCGGCTTTGTGATTTTATTCTGGCAACACCTGCACAAAACACACAAGATGTGGTATGCAGAGTGACCCTTAGTCAACCAGCTGGAGGGAAGGACCCACAAAGAATAACCAAACAATCAAAACCCAATTACTTCCAGACAGCCAACATAAATGGCATAAAAGGCATCCAAAGAGAAGCAAGTTCAGGAAATCAAGGAGACTGCACCACTGAATCTCACAGGTCTCCTACCATAGAAATTCACCCCATAAAGTCAGGAAGATAAAACTTATCAATTTAAGAAGCAGAAGCAAAAAAGAAGAGTCTCACAATAATGGGAAGACAAAGAAACACTCCCCAATTGAAAGGAAAGGAGGAATCCTCAGAAAGAGTACTAAATGAAATAGAGGCAAGTAAACTATCAGATATTGAGTCCAAAACAGTTGTTATAAGGAAGCTCGAAGAGCTCAATGAGGTCAGAGAGAATTACTGAAAACTACAGAGAACTATGAGGAACCTACTGCAAACAATATCAGTATGAAAAATAAACTATCAATAAGAGGCAAGAAGAAATGAAGAACACCATTTCTGAATTGAAAAACACAGTAGAAGAAATTGAAAGCAGACTAGATGAAGCAGAGGAACGAATCAGAGAGCTGGAGGACAAGGTAGAAGAAAACACACAGAAAGAGCAATAAAATGAAAAAAAGACTCAAAAAGCATGAAGAGGCATTAAGGGAAATGCAGGACAACCTGAAACATAATAATATACATATAATAGGGATACCAGAGGGAGAAGAGGAGGAAGGGAGAGAGAAGCTCTTTGAAAGCGTAATGATGGAAACTTCCCTAATTTGAGGAAACAAAAAGACACATAAATCCAAGAAGCACAGAGTCCCAATCAAGAGGAATCCAAAGACGCCCACTCTAAGACATAATATATAAATGGCAAATATCAAAGATAGAATCTTAAAGGCAGTAAGGGAAAAACTGGTAGTAACATACAAGGGACCCCTGATAAGGCTAGTGGCTGACTTCTCAACAGAAACACTACAAGCCAGAAGGGAATGGCAAGAAATATTCCAAGTCATGAAAACAAAGGCCTGCAACCAAGACTGCTCTACCCAGCAAGGCTCTCAATTAAAAAGGAAGGCAAAATAAGGAGTTTCCCAGACAAGAGAAGGCTAAAAGAATACACCTCCAAAATACCAGCATTGCAAGATATGCTACAGGGACTACTTCAAGGAGATGTAGAAAAATAGTAAGAGAGGAACACCAGTACAAAGGGGAAAATGAGTAAGTATGTATCAATATTAACTTTAAACGTTAATGGATTAAATGGTCCAGTCAAAAACATAGGGGTAGCTGAATGGATAAGACAACATGACCTCCACATATACTGCCTACAAGAGACCTGCCTCATAACACAGGAACTACACAGACTGAGAGTTAAGATATGGAAAAAAAATCCAATAAATGTACAGGAAGAAAAAGCAGAGGTAGCAATACTTGTATCAGACAAAACAGATTTCCTAACAAAGACCATAAAAAGAGACACAAAAGGACACTTCATAATATTCAAAGGAAGTATCCTTCAAGAATAGCAACATTGTAAATCTATATGCACCCAACATAGGAGCACCCAAATATATAAGGAAAATCTTGGAGGACTTAAAGAAAGATATAGAGAGAGCAACATGTTGACAGTAGAGGATTTTAACACCCCACTGTCAACAATGGATAGATCTGTTTTCAGAGAAGATGGCGGAGGAGTGAATGGGAGTCACGCTGACTTCCTCCCAAGACCAAACTGGAATTGCAACTAAATAGTGGAGTAATCACCGGGAAAACAATGGAACGATAGTGGGAGAGGAGCCTTGGAGCCATGGACAGTGGATTCAACTCTCACACATCCCAACGGGTGAGAAGTGCGCTCGAGGTTCGAGAGGGTGGGCTGGGTGCCCACGTCACTAGCACCAGAGGGACATTGAAATGGCCAGTTAGCTTCCCCTGAGAAGAACAGGGTCTGAATCATAAACAGGGACCCCTAAACTACAGTAGCTAAAACCAAGAAAATACAGACAAAATGCAACCCCGAAAAGCTTAGGGGCGCTCTCTGCCAGAGACAGGTGGCTGGGGATGCAAAAAGACATTTAAAGGGCCAACACAAAAATTGCAGTGGCAGCCACCCTCCTTGATCTCTGGGTAGAGGCGGCAGCAGGGTGGGCTGGTGCCTGGGAAAAGACTGGTGAGGAAAATTTTGTGAAGAGAACTGACAGGGCGGCCGTTGGAGCCTGGGTGATAATGCACCTCCCACTCTGCAGCTACCATCTTGCTCAGGC